TGAAAACACGTGGTTGCATCATAATTTATATATAACTGGCACGATACCACTGAAATTACAGATGAAAATTGAGATATTCCTCGTTTTATTTCAGTCGTTGACACAGATTTGAAAACACATTTAAAAAAAGAAGAGGTAGCAGAGTGCATATGTACTTTTTATGCATCTAGGCGAATTCAAAGGCTTCACTTGAAATTTATTTATAGTACATTTTATTAATATTATAATAGTCTATCTATATTGAAATTGAAAGAAATTGGAGAAAGAAAATGAACTTTCTCGACCGTTCAATTCAGAAATGGAAATAAGTTTCTCCGTATTGTCTTGTACCCAGTGGCGCAAACCGATTTCTAATTCTTTTGTGGTTCTTTTAGAAAAAGGATCTGCGGTTAAGCAGACCGGTTCCATCGAAACAACAGTTTGGCAAACGTCCAGATTTTTCTGCAGCAAAACTGATACCAATCGTGAGGACAGCCATCAGTCGTTCACTGCGGTACAACGAATTTGCATTTCTCTCGTTCAAGTTTTCATGGTTAAAGGAAATGCAGAAATTAACAATCTTCGTATTTCCACGATAGAACCAAGGATATCAATATCGTTTTAAACCTCCTTCCATTTCTGAACTTTGCTTAACATTAAATTTATCATTTCCTTCGTTCTGTCTCGCGAATCGTACAATGAAACTGAAATTCTCGGTCGAGTGTCCTGAAAACGAGTAACCTGAAATATTTAACAAACAAATGTGTTACATCAAATCACCCTTCAGGGTAAAGTTGCAACATTCATAACTTCTTCTTCTTCTTCTGACAGACAGGCGTATATTCTTCTTTTCCCTGCGAATGGTAACATTCGCATCTCCTTCCAGGGAAACCTGCACAGAAGCATCCAGCTTCATTAGAGAGCTTCCTGGCTGCGCTGTATCGATCCGTGTTCGCATCGGCTGTTTGACCAGCAAGACTTTTTTTTCGTACGAGATCGTGCTAATTATACACCGATAGGGAAAAAGTCGTTGAGAAGAGATAAATTTGTCCCGTTGGTCTCGATAAAATGTCGTGCTATTAGAGGCACTCTGAACGACCCGTCAGATCAATCGTTAGAACTTTGGTAATTAATCAAGGAGGGCAGTTTCCGTTTCGAAAAGTATTTTTATTTTCAAGGGAACCTTGTGTAAATGATAAATCCATATTTTTGATATAATATTATTATCTTGATGGTCGAGGGCAAAATCAAGGTTGATTTTGTAATTAATCATAAGGGATGCTTTCGTTTTCGTTGGGAAAAATGTTTATTTCCACATCGATTATTATTTCTCTATGAGAAACAGGATACAGTCGAATGGTTCATAGTGAACTTTGCACTTTTATTATTGTGCTGTGATAATTATTAGCGGTGAACTGTTGTTGCTGAGAATTCTCGCGTGAGTCCATCCTACGTCATCGACGTTTATAAAAGAACCGGGCGTGTTGCAACCTTCATCACATCAATGTAAACAGGCCGTAATGAAAGGAATCGAACCGAGGGATATTTCAGTAAGTCATCGGCTGCCACGGGGTCGAAGACTTTCCAACTTTCCTTCGAGATGTAAATCATCAAACCTCAAATACGAATCATTTTCGTTTTCTATGAGGCACAAGTTTTCCTTCGGTTATACCCTGACACGTATCTCCCTTAAAGTTTCCTCGGTATCTCGATCAGACGATCGGCACAATGCAGTCATACCAGTCGATATTTCCGACAGCATTTTCACCACGATCGAATCAATTCGAATCAGTGACAGCTTCCACGTGACGCAAATGCAACGTGCATAATGTGTTTTGCTGGTGATTTATCTAGAGCTCTAGGAACACGGTTATGTTAGACACAGAAGTATTTGTTCCATCGGGTTGCCAGCTGTCGTGTCCTGTTTAAGATATCGACAATTTTAGATAGCCATGATTTCTTAAAGAAAATTTCATCGAATTCTAGCCAACGTGTTATAAGATTCACAATTTTTTTATCAATTCGATATTTCATTGGTTACTGCTGGTTTCGCAGAAGCCATTGAGAGAGCTGGGCCGACTGTGCCTCAGCACGGGTGAACAGAGCGGCGACGTTGTTGCGGAAGTATGCACGGAACCACGCGGTGGACTTCCGCTTCTTCAGGTATGGCCGAGCGATTCACCGAGAGGCGAGGCGGACGGACAAGCGCAGGCATTCGTGTTTCCCGATGTCCAAGAGAACGTCAACGATAGTGGAATAGAATCTATACAGGTATTTACAATCCTCATAAACAGAGAAATAGAAAAAAAAATGAACAGAAATATCTGAAATTTATCGTGCTTAACGGTGCTTTTTATTTCCTATTCTTATAACCACGGTTATAAAACGAATCAATGGTTCATGGTAGTTTCTATAAGAAAGCTATTCAATCGAATATTCCCGTCTACCTCGCATCGTAAATCAAAATCTTGTTGGCGCCAGGTCGACGGAGAACCTAAATGTCCCACGCCATAATCGACGCACTGTGCTACATATTTATGATTCATCGATTGTTATTAAAGGCGAAATGTTAAGAGAGTTAAATCGCGGAATGCCTTAACAATGATCCTGTTTGAAAAGGCATCGCCATCGCCGTGCGGCGTGGCGAGTACGAGTCCAGCCGCGACCCCGCAACAATCTCGACGCGCCAGCCTGCTTCATCCGGATCATGCTCGGCTGCAGCTGCATCATTTACATCATAATCACCACAATTCAGGGTCTAAGACTCCACCGACGCCGGATCGGGCGTCCATCGACGAGGAACCTCCACTTCCGCCGAGCCCGTCGAGCTCGACCACCAGCAGTTTACGTTCCATGCCAAGCTCCGCGATCGCTTCGATGCACTCGCAAGATAGGAGGCGAAGCAGCAGGTAATTATACCATCGGGGAATATATTTAACGATCGCTCGACGCAAGAAAGGATAAAGTACGAATGCTAGCGGCGAACGTTTCAAGAGTTTAAGAAACGTTTAATCTCTCCGAGAAAGTGAAAAATCCTCGTGGTTTCCTGTCACCGTCTCCTTCACAAAAGGGAAACGTCCCTGAACCATCCCCTTTCTGTTCCCGATCCGTGAAATTATCGCACGGGGAAGCGGGGCTGGAAATAATCCCTCAGGTTGATACGGTCTGACGTCGATCTTGACTCGTGTCGAGGCGTGACCCTGGCTCCATGCAAATACGACCGACGAAGCACGTGCAGTTATAGATCCAGATATTAATCGGTATCCGAATAATCCAGACCTCTATCCCTCCAGCCACCCTTTCTCACGCTCTCTCGATCTGCTTAGAATTTTATTTCCAATCAACAGAATTACCCAGCTCGGTAATCGATGTTTGATCAATAGTTTTCTAATAATTAACAGGTATAGCATGTTCGATGCCCTGGATCTGGAATACGCCCTGCTGAGGGCAGCAGCCCGAGGTTCAGTGGGTCCATACTCTTTGTCGGAATCCTTGCATAAGTTGACCTTCACTCAGAGCCTAGCATTTCCTGCTTTGGCCCGTGGATTGGCATCGAAGCAGAGCGTACCAACCAGGAGGCCTCAACAGCACACGGAGAGCGGATTAAACGCGTTCGCCAAGGTGGTGACCGCGTTGGTCCTCGTGTTGGTCAGCGTGTTGGTGTTCGGTGTGGTGTACAAGTTCGTGAGGACGTGAGGATGGTTGCTGGTACCCGATCGACAGCCTGGCTCTTCGCAGGATTTCGATCGACCTGGTACCAGCGACTCATTCGACGATTGACTAGCTGGTCGAGTGTTCTGAATATAAAATTCACCCATATGCCGATGATAGAAGGTTCACTTGGTGAAACCTTGGAACCACCGGGAATAAGGATACGAATTATCAGAATGCGGAGCTTAGAGCTTTGATGGTGGAAAGTGAAGGATTCTAAATGAGAGGTGACATTTTAATTAATCCTTGATACCAAATGAAAACGCAAGGTTGATGGTAAAAAGTAAAGGTACCACGTGAAAAATGAAAGTAATAGTAGAAGGTGATTATTTCAGATAAGATACACGTGCAACCTCTGATGGTGCTTAACCATTGGGCCTAGATCAGGGGGTGTTTCGATGATTGTCGATTGGTGAGCATGGATGGATACTTGAACATTTAACGATTATATTCATTCTATCGTCTGTGATTGAAAAATTGACTATTTCGATCAACGAAACCTTTTCAATTCGACAAACTGGGTATACATAGTGTGACATAGAACGAGCTCGTTGAAAAACAATAGAAGATTGAAAGTAGATTGATTCGAATCGAAAAGTGGGATTTTCATACAATGCGATGAATTTTTATTCGCAAAAATGGAGACGACTGAGATGATCGATCGTTGTCCAAGTATTTTGCACGCGGACAAGGTGTATTCGAGCAGTGTTACGCGTTTATCGTGCTTTTTTCATTCTAAATAAATAAAGTATAGCTATATAGCTGTGTTCACAGCTTGCCTTGTAAATATATAGCTATATCTGCATATTAAACGAGGAACTCTTAAAAAGTGCAAACGATTAATCAATATTGAATATCTCTCCTAACTTTAATATTTCCTTCGAATTCATGTTTGCGAATACTTACCGGTAAAGGTGTTATTCTTCATTTGCAATCAAATGTGGATTCTTGTCCGCGTTGCAAAAGAAAATGTCTAGCGTTCGAGCGAGTTATTATCAGGTCGCTTTAAAAAAAATAATAATAATACAATCAGTGACTCTTCAAGTGCTTTACACAATTCTATCCCGATGACAATCGATCCAATATTAATCTTATTTGACATCTTTCGTCGATCAGCTTCATACTGTAAGAAACTTTCGGACATGTTCGAAATAAAGTTTTTCCTATAAATACGTCTACTTCTTCCCGTCGACTGTATTATTTCGAAAATGATACTGCAGTCAAAATGAAATTATAGAAATTTTAAAGAAATCCTAATTAAAATGTTGTTTATTTTTCTAGGGAGAGGTGAGATATGAATCATTGAAATAATCATTTGACATCGGCGAAGAAACCGTTTTATTAATTTACAGTCGCATGATTCCTCTCGACTCTGAGTCCCCGGCGTGTCCCAGCCTGAAGAAGTTTATACCTTTGAAAGTTTACAACAAGTGTTCCCTCATCGAAGTCTCACATCTAAAGGTGCTAATATATCTACAGTGATATAATTCATCTTACACGACTATACACGCATTCGGCCGGGTCGTTTGACGTCGATAAAAGAAAAGAAAACAGGGGTCGTCCTTCTATTTCGTTCGACCCATTAATTTCTTTCTCCTATTTTTTTTAATATTTTTTTTTAATATTTTAATTCTTTTTGCTTTTTTTTATTATTATTATATGCAATATATGTACACGAGAATTCCCTGTATTGCTACTTTACAAGATCTCTGTCCGTCATCGTTACTTTTTCTTCTCATCCTTCATCTCTTCTATTCTCCTTCTTTTTTTTTCTGTAAATTTGTGTATACACGTGTGGAGAGTGTACGTTTATGTATCAATTGTGTCAAGCGTGAATATGAAACCGGAAATACGCGATCAGTGGAAAAAGGTTTGAGGTCCAGTATCGAATGCTTGTCCTACTTTCCTTCTTTGTGCGATTCTGAAACTCTGATGAAGGAAATCAAATTACGAATCAATTGAGGGGTTTAAAATGAAATTTTAATTGCAGGTGTCTTAACAACCCATCGTTCGAGAACTAATTTGTATTCTACATATATATATATATATATATTTTTTAAAGATAATTGGATTCGTGTAAAATTGATCTGGATTTTCCTTCGAAAGAGTTTGCTTTGATACTTCATTCTTTTCTACACCCAATTTATCCACTTTATCGCGCTTAGGCCGTGCTTTCTCGTTTCTATAATCACACTATCCTTTTTTCTTCTTCATATTTTTGTGCTTTCATTCGTTTCTTTAATCCTTTCGTGCTGCACCAACGCACACACGCGTGGATTGTGAAAATGTACACCCTTGTTCTACAAAGAAAAAAGAAAAAGAAAGAAATTGTAAGAATTGGCTAATCTTTTGTTCTTTTAAATCTAAATTTCGTTCGAAGAATTTGTATTTAGTTTCGTTAGAAAACAGAGTACGATTTTTCTAGGACTTTGAAGACACTTGATTGGACTAGTTCCAACAGTTTCGTGTTCCAAGAGAATCAGACGAAAGGATTAAATCGCACCTTCGTTTCTTCTCGTCGTAATCGTGTGCGTTGTACGTACTCGAGTTTGTACTCAAAGTGTAGAAAAATAAATTATCATATCGAGTATACTATTAATGACCCGATACGAGATGTTTCACGGTTATTTCGTGAATAATATTCAGTAAACGAATCTTGAGCGCAAAATAAGACTAATTTGAAATAACGAAAAGCTGATCTTCTATTACACAAAGATTTCCAATTTCAATAATTAAAAAATTAATTCATTCTCTTTTTACAAATTACCTTATTTTGATCTCAGACATCGTTTAACAGTGATCAATGCATTTATGAAACCTCTATACTGAGAATGAAAGATCTGATCTAGAATTTCTAGAAAACCTTGCTCTGTTTTTCCATTCTAGAGAACTATAGTTTAATCAAAATTATAGACACTTTCGTTACCACGTGTCCAAAATAACGGACCTCGAACTTGTTTTTTGATTCACAACATTCTCGTGCTGTTAAACATGCAAGCACCTTTCCAAGTTCAATGCTTCTTCAACATTTTTAACAGCAGAGTACAATTCTCCGCAATTTCGACAATTTTTTTTACGATAAAGAGTTGCTAAATAGTTTGTTCATACGTAAAGCTTAAGGAAAGTAGACAACATTGAAGCTTATCGGTAAATCGGTTGAAACAGCGCTTATATTTTTAACAGCATCCTTCGAGAACACAATTCTCATGTGTTTTTCTTCTCTCTTCTCGAAGTACGTACACATTTTCGTTGAAGGTATTTCTCAAAGTCGATGTTTCTTTTTTCCACAGTTTACCCAAATACTTTCCATTTACAATTCCACGAAACAAAGCTGCGATGGCAACATAGTTTGTTCGGAGCTTCTACGAGAGAAGTTTTACAAATAACGTAACATAGTTTCTATACTTTCATGCTCGTTACCGCGAAAGTATTTTAAATATCGCGTGTCGTTTTCTCGAGATATCGCGAACGATCGATAAATAGTACCTCTATACGATACACATACCGAACTACACAACAACTCGGTGTACAATTAAATTGCACCTTTCACCAAAGTTCAATAGAACACACTAATTACAAACCACCGAACGAACCCATCCTCCATGACATTCGACTATTTTATTATTATTAACAATTGCACCGTGAAAATCGTACGATTCGACCAATTACAGAACAATTGTATAGAGAAAATTCGATTGCTACGACAATTGTACCAGGAAATTTTCAGAAAAAATGAACGAATTGATATTTTTTTCACCCCAACAGGATTCGATCCTGGAAAGTTATAATACGTAATTTCAAACAACTTTACCAACTTGGCCATTAAAGACGCGGGGAATTGCGTTCTTTTTTCCTGTATTTATTGTACGTACAATTTCTTAGAGATTTTTCTTCTGACACTGTATTACAACGAATCGATTGAGATCGTAAGAAAGCACACATTTGACGGCTTCTATGATTAATATACGGAGTATCCATAAAGCTTCGAAAAATAATAAATACGTTGATGTTATTATTATTTATTCTACTTTATGGGAACCGCGTATATATCAAGAGAAAAGCGACGATTTTTCGCGAGCCACGTTAGGAAAAAGACCTACCACTAATTGACCGTCGACACCCCATAATTCGTTTATTTATCGAACGTGTTCGTCGCGTAATCTAGAAAAATAGAGCCACGATTACCGAGAACCGTACGTAATCTACCACAACGATTATGACCTAAACACTTTCTTAAGTTACATATCGACTCTAAAGTAACGAGAATGATCGATATCCGAGATAAACATGTTTCTCTCGAGCTGACACTAATCACCGATTTCAATTAACCTTCCCCTTCGGATATGCATTCGCTTCGTACCTTCAAATTAATGAGAAATATATCGATTCGTTCGAACGTTTCATTTCCTTCCCTACCTATAGATCAGCCTACTTGTTCCACTGTTCTACGTAAAATAGGACTCTGTTAAAGGCCTAACTTTCAACTATTCTTCGCAAGACAGTTCACAGCTTAAAGAACACGACTAGTTCGATCGTTCACTTTCCATTCTCAAACGTAATCGTCCTAATCCTACTTAGTTTTCGATTTGTACCCTGTTCGTCATCATTAGTAACACGTTCCTCGTCCTAAACGCGATCAACGTTAATGACTGATTACGGTTGTAACAGCGGTAAGAATTTTTCTTCAAGTGGCTGCTTCACGGTTAGTTACCTAAATTGTTTCTGAATCAATTAACACGTCAAATACCGCAAAATAATTAAAAGAGAAATATATTAGCGAACTGAAGAATTGAAATTTGATATTTGAGAAAGTTCAGTACCTTTATCTTTATTTAATAATCGCGGTGGTCAACGTGTTAAAATTCCATCAAGTTGAAAATTTCTAAAGATGACATTGAAAAATCTATCAATTTAGATCAACGATTTAATCGATTGTCAAATGATCAGAATTGCCCGGACCTGTTTCTAAACCAACGATTCGCGTTCCTTCGGTCTTTCGACTCATCCAAAGGATCTTTTCTTCGAAGAAGTTGCTTCGAGCCTCGAGATTCAGTTCGTTTTTTTTCCCCCTTTGCACGATCGTCTCTTTCTTCGTCATAGTCTTGAACAACCCTTCGAGGGTTCTCAAAAAGAGAGAGAGAGAGAGGGAAACCTTGCCTCTCGACGAGGTTCCCATCGCGAACGAGCTAGAGTTTGCGTTGAAGTTTTTAGAGCCTTCGAGTATTAGCCTACTGGTAGATGATGGGATGAGTAGGTTCGACTGGTAGATCGCTGTCCAAGTTCAAGGACACGCCATCCTTGGATACCAGATAGTGAGTGAGTAGTTGACCTTTGCCTTTCACGAATACCATGCCACGTTGCTCGAAACCGAAACCGAAGGGCTCCAGGATTTTCCGGGTCTCGTCCGTCACCTGAGTACAAGTTATTAAACTCACGGGTTTCGAAATTTCCAAATTTCTAAATATTACACCTTACCTGGATACAACCCACTTTTCCAGTGCTCTCCATCCTGGACGCCACGTTCACCGTGTTGCCCCAGATGTCGTAATGAGGTTTCCTCGCCCCAATAACCCCAGCAATTACCGGGCCATAATTGATACCCATTTTCAAGACAAAGTGATTGAAACTCTGCTCGTTGATGCTGGACAATGCTTTCTTCAGTTCCAAGGCAAATTCGACGAGGGTCGCCAGATGACACCATCGTGGCGCGTTCTCAGATTCCACCGATTCCGTGATCCCTGATGCCGCCATATACGTAGAACCTATTGTCTTGATTTTGATGATGTCTCGGAATTTACACTGATCGAGGATCTACGAGAAAGGGAAGATCAGTGGGATTAAAACGAATTCCGAGATCTTTCTAGGTCCAAGAATACCTAAACCATCGAAAGGTATCCAAGTTCCATGGTTTTCGAGTTCCTGAATTCCTGCACGTTCAATGGGATTGGTACATTCAATGGTACTCACCGCGTCGAAATCTGATATGACTTCGTTGAGGAACCTAAGACACTCGAGACCCTGGTTGTTTATGCTCTCCTCGCTGTAGAAGTCGGCAAAGTTTGGCATGCTGGCGAATAGTACGCCCACCTCCGAGTAACTTTGACTGTATAGGTCGCCGTGGTGTCTGGCGCTGAACAGGTAGTAAGCTGCCACGTGGGGCGGCAGGATATTGTATATAAGGGCACCGTTTCGACGCTTCATGTCAGCCGCCCTCTCTCTCTGCGCGACCACCTCTCTGCCCCGTAGATAAAGCATCCTCCTCGATTTCTCCGTCTGGAAATCGATCGAATTCCAGCCAGCTCATCGAAATAAGAAGGTTCACATTTTTATTCAACCTTTAGCTGTTCATCTACCGAGGATGGGATATTTTTTATTTAACAACATTAAATGTCCCCAGGTTTAATTGACCGGACAAAAGACATTTAAGGGTGTTTGTACCAACCTATTCTATACTTCTAACTTTATTTAACAAAGGAACGTTCAATATAAAATATTACTCACGTATCTGGAAACGATGACCAAACAGATGGCCACAACGAAAAGAGTGATGGACAGGTAATACTTTGAAGGAAAAATTGGTGGGTCTAATGGAGACGAGGCATAATCTTCCCAATCGAGCCTCCCTCCAAGTAGATAGATGTTGACGGCACACTGGATACCTGCGATTCCGAACATCAAATACGTTTTGCCCAGGTAGTAGATGTAATTCGGCATAGAGATCGCCACCAGCGTTAGCACGCCCATGTATGAGTAGTACGAGGGATATGGACACCTTGCTGACAAGGGTGTAGTGCCGTTGAAGCGAGGAATCGCTTCCTCGATCACCACACAGTTGAACTGTTCATCGGAATAGATATTGAACGTACCTTAGACTAATGAACCGTTCTAATAAAATATCATTCGTTTGACGGATGTTTCATACCATGTCGAGAAGCAGAAAATCCCCGAGGGAGAAGATCATCAACAAAGCAAGGGTTCTCCTCAGCCACATAGCTTTAACGGCGCTGCCCAAACAAGTGGCACCGCCCAAAACGATAGCAAACAAAGTGACCACCACTATTCCACCCCAGGTAAATGGTCCCCAGGGTTGAAACCTCCATACCGGCGATGAACAAACCATCACCAGCGGTCCTCCGAGTAACGACAACGGGGAGAAGGCTTCTTCGGCATTGTGAAACGCTGATTCTACCTTCTTGTCTTTGAAACGTAAGGAGAACCAATGCGCGTGTCCTTTCAGATCCACCACTCCACCTATAGGATTTCAGATAAAATTTTCGTTGATAGATATTTTTTCCCCTTTTCCAACATGTTTATCCACCTTTGCTGTCGAGCTCCTTCCTAAGCCTTTGCCAGAACTCTTCCGTGTCCTTGTTGTACCTCCCGTCTCTGGTATTTTCCATCGAACTTCGCGAATTTTCCGCGTCCGTCAGTGAGGCAAGACTCTTCGTCACGGCTGGCTTGAAGGGTTTCAACGCCCGCACTATGAAGTAAGTGACGATACCCGCCTTTTTGAGTGCCTCTTCTCTGTCCTCGCCGTGGGCTGGCTCGACCTCGAATTCCCCGTTCAAGAAGCTCAGTGTCACGTTCGAGATGTGCACCCTCCTTCAAATATTTATTCTCTCGATAATTACACTGTTCATCGTGCGCGTAACTTCATTTTGTACAGCCGAAAAATTTCACAGAAATTTTAATTGCGTGATATTTTCTTTTACAATTTATCGTATCTCACCCCGCTCTTCCGCTGCTCTCCATCTTGTTCGCCAGCTCGACGTCCTTGCTGTAAACATCGAATTGCCATTGCCTCTGACCGAGAACACCGGCCAGAACTGCACCGGTGTGTATGCCCACCCTCATGTCCACAGGGCTGTTGGTCGTCTGTTGCACGTACTTGATGGCGTCCACCATCGACAGGCCCATGTGAACGCAGAGGACAGCGTGGTCTGACCTTTCGACCGGTGCTCCACTGATGCAGTAGTAACAGTCGCCGAGGATTTTAATTCGTAGCTGCTCGTACCTGGACACGTTAATATTTCTAAAAAATGGTAACTCAAAAATGAAAGCAATTTGGTAGCATCTCCCTTCGTGAAACGCTGTTCTGTAATTTTTCACTTGTAAGTGAGAATCTCTTTAAAGGACATATCAACGACCCACCTCTCGCTGAGTTGATCGAATCTCGCGAACAACTCGTTCAGGATTTTCACGAGTTCGCTGGCGCTGTAGGTGGAGGAGATGGCCGTGAAACCGACGATATCCGCGTACAAGATCGATACGTTCTCGTGCCTGGACATGTAGATCTTCTTGAACTGCGTGTCCAACGAGGCGCCGAGGTCCTGTCGCATTTTTACAGCCACGTGTTCCGGCAACACGCTCAGAAGCAGCCTCTCTTGTTCGGCACTTTGCTCTTCGATCACTAATTGAACCTCCAGGCTCTGTTTAGTCTCCAGAAAGGCTCGACGTTGCTGGAACTCTGTCAAGGAGTAACTGGAAGCACCCAACAACATCGCGCCCACCGACAACGTTAACGTCAGCACCTGAAAATCAACGGACATTTACGATTCGAGACTATTTGGAAAATATTTAACTGTTATCCAGGAACAAACTATTCCTCCGCAAATAACCCTAAGCCCTTTTTTCTCCCCCGCCCCCTATTGCTTCGTTTTCGCGCGGAAAATCGTGGAACTGGCTCCGTCTCGCACGCTTGATGGAGTTCTATTCAACCGCAGAGGCTTTTGTTCGAATCGTTTGTCCCCATGGAACAATAGAACAGGATCGTAATTGAATTTTCTGCGGCCAAGAAATTAACTGGGAGACGGTTTTGTGTTGTTTTATCGATTTAAATGTTCCCCTGTTTCGTATTATTGGTTTGCTCGTTTGACGAATCTGTTAATTCGTCGGTAATTAGTAGGGTCACGCTACAATGCACGATGATGGACTGTTTATTTCGTCGATATACGATGCTAATCGATATTCAAGCTTAATTCACTTATATCGTTCGATCACCCCTTTCGTTAGATGCAATTATTTTCAGCTGATTAAAAATATATTTGAATCTCTATTCTATCTTAATATCTAAATTATTAAATTTCTGCCACAGTAGTCAACATGTTAATTCAATTCAGACACTCTCGAGTGGAAGTAGATTCAGACGATCGCAGTGTGCTGGTCAGACAACTTCTCACCAGGCGGAAAACTTTGAATCCAATTTCGAGCAGCTTGATTGGTACGAGAGTCGGCGATCATAAACTTCGAGAAATTCAATTTATCTTCGTAATTAACGTGTTAAAAAAAAATTTCAAACTATATATCATAAATTATTATCAATTTCAATGTTCTCCCATCGTTTCCCTTGATGTCCATATGATGAACGATACCAAAGGGGTTTGTCACCCCCTCGATCAACCTGAAGAGAAGGGTTCATTAAACAAGAAATCGACGATTATTGCAATTATCGTTCGAACTGACGCATTCAGGCTATTTGTTACCGAGTTGAGGAAGAAAGCAGATCGTGCCATTGAAAACCGATCGTATGTCGTGCATGGAAAGGCGGCATGTCGCGTCATTGCACATCTCTTTCACCTTCGTCTCTCTCTATTTTAAACAACCATTGAGCGAACTCTACTCGGCTGTTACTAACGATAGAACCACGTGCACCAGTGAAACTTTCGCTCTCGCGACCATTCTTGTCTAGGAAATTTTGTCACTGAACTATCTATGTTGTTTCATAGTGTTCGACCACGTTGTTTCCACGTTCTTTGACCTCTCCTAATTACCTCGTTCGTGAGTGAAAATTCGTTTGATCGATGCCTCTGGGTCGTTCAACGAACTCTATACTTCATCTTTTAGTTACACTTGATTTCATATATACAATATGTACACGTATAATAAGGATTTAAAAGGAGCTTTTGCAACAGAAGCGTAAAAGTTAATAACACGTCATCGTAATTGTTGAAACTTCGAAGCTAGGCCAACGAATTTGCGATGCTAATGATCGTGACAGACTGTTCATTACCGGCCTTCCTCCAATCAAAAGCCGATTAATCGACGTTCCAGGGTGTCGCATCCCCCCGGAATTCAAGCATGATTTCCTTCGTGCCAGCTTTTACGACACACTATCTGCGAAGTTGCTCGTTCAATTTATGAACCTTGTTCTTGTTCGTTTCACCCTTTCCGCAAGGGACGTCGCAACTTTAATTAGCGACCAAGTGAAACTACCTACCATTCGTCCATCTAACTAGACACTAATTAAAAATCCCGGAACTGTGAACTACTTCCATCGAAGGAACTTCTTCTCATCGAAAAGAAATATTAAGTATCGACTGAACGATATTTTATGGATTTGTTGAAGTACTCGAATTTGAATTTTTCATTTTGGATAGAAGGTCGATAGGAAAATTGAATTTCTCTTAAGAATGCTGTTTGAACAATTGATTGCATCGAAGAATTGTCGCGATGGAAAAGACAACAGAGATAATGGAGGCACCGGTTTGATGGCTAATCGATCAGTCAAGTGATGCTGAATCGGTGGCAATATATAAAGCGACTTAATCCAGCTTCTATTATTCCTTTACGAAGCTTACTTACATTGTACACAGGTTTTTCTCTTCCCGAGGAAGTTCAATTATATCGTGATTTGTTTAGACAGTAAATTCGTTCGACTAGTTGAAGCTTTCATTGTTCGTTCTGGCCACTTTAAACGTTGTATCATCGTTTCCTCTTTAATGGATTATTTTCTAACATCACGGGTCTAAAATTAAATAAATCCGGTATAAAGGAACGATATTTAAGCCCTCGGAGGAGATTGATTCAATTGATCGTGTAAAATAACAACACGGAGTATTCTTTTTTTTTTATATTTTTAAAAAGAATCTATAAATTTATTTGGAATTGCTCAATTCGAATGGATTTAAATCTGAAAATTTTTAATTAGATTTAGCTTCGAATGTTTTCACGATTATTTAACACCGAATGAACCCTGCATTTCACGCAGAAAACTAACGCCCACGACATACTCCAACATTAAAAATGCCTCGACATTTTTCCAAGCGTATTATTTTTTATAACTTTTATTTTAAAATTGGTTCGACTTGAAACCATTAGCCTAGATTCCTTAACACGTTCGCCTAGCCACGTTCGCGACGCTGTGCATACCGTTCCAGCTCAAAATCAAAATTCTTCGCGTAATTTATTATCACCTAAATATCGATAGAATTGCAAATTACCATGGGAAAATTAAAGGCGCGAGACTTGTCGTCAACGGGGTTATTTAGACGTACGAGTATAGGGTAGTCTCAAAGGGGTAGGCAATGAATGTGTCAATCAGTTGTCCTGGAAATTCATCGGCGCCAATTCCCGGCTTCAAATCAATTTCACAGACGAAACCATAGGAGAACATTTTAACAGCTTTCTATAGAGTGACATCTGTCTACATATCCTTTCATATCGAAGCTAAAATAGCATTATAGAGACAGAAAATTCTGAAGTTTCGATTTCCGGTCCTAAACCAATAACAACCTGCACGTCGTGAGTAATGTCTCTTTATCCTTGAAGGTAAATTGGGAAAATTTAAGTAAGATTTGGTAAAGAATAAAAATTCTATCTGACGAGATTTTCAACGTTTTCAGGGCGGTGGCGAACGGTGCTAAGGAACCATCCAAATCCTCCGTAAGAGGAGGATTCATCAAGGTACAGTTGGTGAAACCTACCAAAACATCGATGGGTATCTGGGCGGGTGCCTTGGACAGTCCGACCACGGAGACGATGTAAGTTAGCGTGGTGCCGAACGCGAGCAAGGCACAGAGGGAGAGCCTGAGGGGCAGAGTGGCGAACAGCAGGTAGAGCAAGAGCAACAGCCAGTCTAATCCGTTTCTAGGCGTGACCTCGCTGGACTTGAGGAACAGCTGAGCGAGTAGCTGTGCGGTGGAGAGTAGCCAGGCCACGTGAGGGACCACCGACCAGAGCGCATCCTTTGCTTTGGGGTTGCACTTGGCCCAGGCCAATAGACCAAGATTCAGTCCCAGGAAGACGGCTGTAAGCCCTCGGACCAGTAGCTCCAGACCTGGCACTACTATCGTTTGTGCGCCATAAAGGAGTGCCGATAACAGGAAACACTCGAGACCACCCCGCCTTTGCTGAAGGGACGAAGCACGATAGAGCGTCTCTAGCTTGGCGCTGCTGAAGCTGGTCCGCAGCAGGTTCGACGGCCTGCCCGCGCTCAGGTAGGAATGCTCGTTCGAGGTGTATCTTCTTCGTAACATGGCGCTGTTACTCGATCTTTCTCTCTCTCTCTCTCTCTTTCTCTCTCGCTCTCTTTCTCTCCCTCGTGCACACAAACACACACACACTCACTCTATCGTACTCTTTAAATCACATTCCTGCTGTTCCTGTGGTCGGCGTCGCCTGGAACAACACGTTGCTGGGACATCGGACGATCGTCAGCACCCAAAACAGGGGAGACGGACTGTCCGAGCTGGTTTGTCCTCACCAGTTCCCTCGGATGCTGGCTGACACGAGGACGACGACGACGACGACGACGAGGACGCCTCGTCACAGAGAGACACCTTACGTACTCCACCCTCGTGAATCGTTTGACCAAGTAGAAGAACACACACGCCAACTATCGCCACTCTCACGCACTCTCACACACACGGCTTTTCGGATGCAGCTGCACCCGCCGCGCGGGGTACTGGCCGGGGTACTACTGCCGGTAGCTCCTCTCGTCTCACCCTCGCTGAGAAACCGACCCGCTCCCTTCATCCCTCTCTCCTCTCCGCAATCGCCACCTCCACCCTCCAACCCCGTCCAGGCTTGCGCCATACGATCAACCCGACAGCTACGACCCTCCACACGGGTCGATATCAACCACCACAAAAGCCCAGCGACGTCCACGCCAGGCCCTACACCTGCGCCGCTCTCTGCCCTACCTACGCGTACCTACCGACCTAGCTGCACCCTTTGCAACCACCACCACCACTACCATCGCCAACTTCTCGCTCGTTTTCCGTGAATTACCTCAATGTCGGTCACCCTCTCCGTTTTCACGCTGCTCACTGCTATTCGTTTATTTTCGCAGGGGCTAACTCGCGACTGGTGCTCCTGTTCGATCAACCTACCCTTGCGTCGAGCAACCGGGTCATCGTAACTGTTCGATGTAACACGTTGGCCAGCTGGAATTACTTCGGCCGTGTAGAAGTTGGCGTGCGTGTCACTCGAGGCCGGTAATATGCTCGAACAAACGGAAGGTAGGTATTCCTTAAGCATACGAGGGATGTTCGGTGCTCCGGCATCGATTTTCTTCCCTTTCGGGACAAAAGTATTGTTGGCCGAGTCGAGTGACCGAGAATTTTTATTCTAAAAGCGACCAATTCCTTTTCTTCTTTGTTCATTTCAAATATAGAAAATTTAGAGTTTTTTCATTTCAACATAGATACCGATATTCGCGATACGCATACGACGAGGATTTATTTATTTCGTTTATCCGACGAATAGGCGGGATCCTCGATCGCGTTTCATTTGAATAACAATTGAATTCGAAGTGTCACCTCGGAACGATTTCATTTTCGTTTTTTCAATTTCACTTTTTAGTATAAACGCTTTCGTTGAGAAAAATTAATAACTGTTGTTCCACTTCGTGCCGCCGTGGAAAATGAATCGACCCGATTCGATCAATCGACCTGAGGTCCAGCATTTTCCAGGAAATTGAACCATGTCGATTTTTTTGTCGAGCCATTAATTCGCTTCGCTTCCATTAACGCTGTTTCAATTAAAAGCGATCATCGGGTTCCCAGGAACAGAATGTTGTTGACAAATCCTTGTACTTCTTTTGAACTTCTATTTATAATTATTCCGGTGACGTGAGATCGTTGAAACGTAAGATACTGAAATGGGTATGAAAATATTTTTGTTAGAAATAAGAAGCAACGAGCTGATCGAAAATGAACTTTAGCAATCGGATATCGATTCGAGGGAAATGCAATCGGTAGATTCCACCGAGTGGTTCATCAGTAGGGCTCATAATTATGGATGAGCCGATATTCCCTCTCTGGGGATCCTTCGAAGGACCTTCGACAGGAAATGAGCCCCTTTTCCAATCGTGAATTTCAAATTCATCGTCTCTTAAGAATAAGAAAAAGAAAAAAAGGTTAGCACAATCGCTAACGATCCTTTCTTTGCTACCTTTAATCAATATTTCAATCTTACAATGGAAGAATATAAAAAGAAGAATAAAAGTGTACTTAAGAAATAAGAAATAACCATCGTGTCTAACAAAGGATACAAAAAGTACATTATGAATGATAAAAAAAAGAAATTAAACGCTCTCCAATCTCTTATCTATTAACCCTCGAACGTCAGACGGTGGGTCATTCAAGACCCAAAGAATCTAATATGCATTCTTCATTAATCTAATTCACTATTCGAAGGTTAATTCACGATGAAACGAATATAAAGATGTTACAATGGATAGTGCAAAATTGATCATTGAACTTGTTTCAATTGAAAAACTTTTCAATGTTTTTTTTCTCAGTCGTCTACATGTTGGTCCATTTGTTTCTGTATCTCTTCGGGGACTATGTAACCGAGAAGTTTCATCTCCTTGACAATCTGAGGCACCTTGCTCAGACTGTCGATCCATTTGTAATAAGCCAATTCTTCTCTGGTACCGCCATACTTCTTCGGCAAGTGGGACGGTGATATATGTTGGTGAAGACTGTCCATGTTACTACCATGAAAGAAGATTTTATTCTGCATTCGTACGTCCAACAATGGTTTGAACACGGAAAACATCACGTCGAACACCCAGGACTGATGGAGAATGTGTATGGCGTATGTCTTCATGGGAAATGCTGACACCATCAACGCTGTCACCATGTTGGCTACCTAGAAGAAATGGAAAAGCATTAGGTTAAAAGAAGAAAATCATTCCCAATGAAACTTTCATCAGCTTCGACGTGCCAGTGAACATGTTAACTGTCCTACAAACGCGTGTCGCTCGATTTAATTGGAGAACAATATTTTTAGAAGAGATCTGGATATCACGAATTCAAGCAGAACCAAGAATTTTAATTATGCCTGCGTTTGAAACGGGTCAGTTAAACATTAGGCTGGTTTCTCGAATATATTAAGCGAGTTCGTTTAACGACATCTGGGCGAAAATAAATTCAAAGATGAATGACATAAATGTTGAAGAAGCGGATCTAATTAATGATTGAGTTTAATGAAGGAAGTCATTTGTTTAACTCGTCAACTGATGCCTGCAAATTCATCGATTTGAAAGTGGATCGATAAGAAAAATGATAATGAATAACTCGAATCGGATATGCTCTGATTGCAAGATACCATAACGATAAGAAATTAAATAAAGATTATCTCATCGAGGGTGTTATTTCATGGAATCTGAATTCTAATGATGACAAGGTATCAATAACTTTGGATTTATGAATTTTAGGATGATTATTCGAGAGTTGTGATTAAGCATCTTGGATCTTTGAATTGTAGGACTTAACTTGAATCTAATTAATTTTTGTAATAATGGTATTTCGAATTCTAATAGCGATCATTTCACAAAATTTGCCGAATTTAATGAAATCGTCGAGTTGTTGAAACAGCGAATCTTCGAAAAAGCGTTCAGTTAAACGCGACTCCACTTGACGGAGCGTCTAATTTATCTCGACGAGATATCTTGGCTAGGTATCGATCTACTTTCAACGTTCTTGAAACTTGAACCATCTATAACGACCTTGAAACTAATAGTCTCTCCTTTTATCTGACAACCTCCTGTTACGTTTATTCATCCCTCGCGGGTACCTAACCCAATGAAGTAGCTCTATGGACCAGGCCAGTAATGGTGTCCTTGAAACTTCAACGACCCGTAAACTTCTCGACACCGATTTTCTTCTCCTTCCTTTCGATCGTTAGCTCAATGATTCTGGAAGACAAACGATGTTCGACAACACGGAAGAATCGAAAACTTTTAGGGCAACGATGCTGTCATTTCGCGATGCTTCTTCTTGAAAGGTTCCCGATGTTGTTGACGGAAGACCTTGAGTCAGTTAATAAAGACCTCTTCAAGGGAATAGAAGTTAATGAGAAATATTTCGAGGCAGTGATGATAATTTATCAGTGAACACGTACCTGTGGGGTGATGGTCCAGGCGTGAGCCATCGTGATTCCCTCCAAGTCAAAAATCGCGACACCTCCGAGGATTTGCGCTCTGGGTTCCAGAACACCGAGCTCTAATACGATAACGGTAGCCTTGAATATCTCTTCCACTGAATATTTCCTTGGATCCCAGTTTCCCAATCGATAGATCATCATTCTTCTACCACACTGTGTCCTGTAAGCAGGCACCGTCATCACGTCATCCTCACCGATATGCTTCATCTCCACTGGACTCACATCCTGATGGATCTCCGGGTGTTCCTCTTTGAAGTTGCAGTAATTCACTATCTATCGATAGATTCATTGAGAAAAAGGAATACTTGGCTAACTTAACCTTCTATGCCTCGAATATACAGTATCTGACGAACGAAAATTATTGAATTCCTGATACTCGAAAAGTGAAATCCCGTGAGTCATAGAAGGTTAATTTAAAGCTGGCGGTGACTTATAAGAATCTTATTTCTTTATTTTCAACACAATTTATATGAGATAGAAACCGAGCTAAAAAGAATTAAAATGTTTTCGATCCCAGTGACAGACAGTCAGACCGGTCAGACAGTTTGCCTTGGCATCGTTGTGCAACTGTCGGGATTGGACTCGTTTTACCGATACACTGACATTCCATAAGAAGACATTTACAGAAATCGATAGAATTCAACTAATTACACTTAGGAAAATACGCGATCCAATAGACTTACCAATCGATGAGCACGAGGCACGTTAAAACCCCTCGTCCTGAGGAATCTGATCAAAAAATCATCGTCCATCCGATGTGGCATACACTCTCCTCTCTCTGTATATAATTACAAAGACGTGTGAAAATTTTGATAGAGTTATTGCAAAATTTCTATATGCTTTTGAACGTCCATAAATTACCATAAATCATGTCTCTCAGTTCTTGAAGAGTTCGGCACCTGACTTCCTCGGTCTCTCCCAGTTCTCTCCTAGCGTAATCCATCACCTCGGCCGATGGTTCGCTCAAATCTAGGCAAACCTCCTCGTCGTTCGCCTGGTCCTGATCGTCCTTTAATTCTGGCATCTTGTTCGAATCGTCCTTGCAACGATGATGATCGAGGTCATCGATACCGTCCTTGTCAAGGATCTTCGCTCGTGATTGTTCGCCGTTCAATGAAGCTGCATCGATAGCACCACCGTTCTCGTTCTCCTGCGGCATGATGCAGCTTCGCGTGATCCACGATCGAATCTGCCTCGAGGACTCGCGGGGATCACGTCATTCGACGCCAAGAAACGCGGCGGAACCGATAACCTCCTTCGACCAGTTACGATTTTACGCGTTTTGATAGCCGCGCGAATCCGCCTTTACGAACGATTTCGTTTTTGTCTTCGCGTTCGTTCAGATTCGTAGCTTTCTTTAACCCGGTCCCTCGATTTAATCCAGCGATTTTGTGTTTGTCGAGAATTTGAAAAGTTACTAGACGCGTGACACGTGCTCGAAGACTACTTCCGGCTCCTCGACGCTCGTTCGTTCGCGCGAAACTTCCAGCCGCTGTTTGCACAGCTCGAACAACAATACAACTTTCTCTTGTAAAAATATACGCCGCAAGGCTGTTGATTCAGAACCTAGCTGCTTCGCGATTTCCCTAATTCTGGTAGACGGATTTGTTAAGAAAATGGAGAAATCACGGGAACCTTGAGACCTTCGTTCACTTATGTAAGGATTTCAAACGTGGAATTTTATTTTCCTTCGTTTGAATTTAAAAAGTTCGCAATCTTTTTATTAATTTGGAGCAATTCTTGAACTGCAATCAGTCGTACAACGTTTAACACTGTTTCAGGAAATTTTCACAATTATTTTTCTATTTGTAGTTTGATAGATACTTCGAAGTATAGCTTGTTGTTTCTTCTCGTCGAAATTAATTTCTTACACGAAGCTTAATGTGCGGAATCGGTCGTGTAGTGAAGGAAAACTTGCACAGTTATTATTTTTTTCCAAAAACTTTAAAGTATATATAGGATATCGCGAATTACAGAGCGCGAAATCGGTCGCGCAGCGATGCCGGTCAGTGATGCAACTGGCTGCAGCTACGGTGCACGGCCTCGTTGCATCGACACGAAATGCAACGCGGTTTCCCTCTTACCTGCGGTCTCGCCTTTGAAAATCGTAACTATAGTTAAGGACCGATCGGAGCGCTATGGAAAATTTTCTATGGTAATTATATCTTCGATAATATGAGTTATTGAAAATAAAAAATCTGTCCCCTATAAACATTAGCATGTCATATGCATTTATTTGAACAAATGGTGTCAAAGTTCAAGGAATCCAAGTTTACCAGAAGGAAACTGAAAGGTATCACTTCGTTTCCTTTCCAAACAGAGGTTGTTTGACCACTTTGAAAGACGTAAAAAATAATTGGAACCTATTTGAAAGAAGAAAGCGATCAATCGCGGAGAATAGAAAGTAAAACACAAAGTTGAGAATAATCGTAATGTTAGAATGGTGTTCCAGAATTTCCATGACTGTTATTTCAGCAATCTGACTCAGGCATTTCCTAAGAACGCTCTTTGTTTGAAAGCGTTGAAGGAGAAAAATTATTTTTGGGAAACAAAATAAAATTTATAGATTTCTGAAGTGAAAAACGTCTCATTAAATTGAATTGATGAAAAATTCTCTCATATTACTAAAGAAAAATACAGAAGTCTTTAAAGTTAAGTGAATTATTGGAGCATAATGGTGTTCGATTACTAATTCCAAGGATAGCCACGAAATCGCGTGGTAACACACGCTAACCACGTAAGAAAAAGTTGCAATAACCATCAGTAGCGAACTGCACCGTGTTACCAAAGATATCATCGTGTTGCGAAATGTGTCATGGTCATCCTGTTGCATCCACGGCTCGATGCTTTCACTAACGACAACTTAGCCCGCAACTTTTATCGTGGGTGCGTCGGTTTGTTCGAAGTAAGAGAAAGTAAAAGTGAGAATCTCGACTAAACGGTCAATATTTCCTCGTTCTATAAATAACGAGTTTTCTAGTTTCCTCGATTACGTGTGATTTCGACTTAAAAAATGCGATTAGCCAAGAAAATCGAGGCCTCTGATGGAAATCTTGATTTTTGAAATATTTCAAGCGTAGTATGCAGAAATTGGATATTACTCATTTTACTATTTATAATCAAGAATAATACAAAAAGAAGTAATTTTATATTTTGTAAAATTAGGCAAAAGTGTCGAAAATTGAAAGACACAACAGGAAATAGAATACAGCAAGAGGACATTCACCTTTGGCCCTTCCCATGATGCCCCAGACGCTAATACGAATAACCTCTTGCTATTGGTTCTTCGCAGTCACATGATCAGGCATGCGCCTAAGGTCTAACCAAAGCAACCCAGTAGTCGAAGAACAAATTTGTAATCCCTTACATCTCAGAAACGAAGCCACGGGTTGCAAAATGGTAAAGGAATTTTCGATTCATTTTGACACGAAAACAATATAGCCTTCGTGAGATACATTTATTTTGAAATATCCTGTATAATATATCTGTGCCCCATATTTTAATATCGAAATGTAGTACACTGTAATTCATCGTTACGTTCGTTGATGCAACTGCGGCGAACTGCATAACAGCGTTTTATTATTACTTTCTCTGCGGTCTCGGACATTGCAACTCCTTTTCCAACACTTTCAGTTTCGTATACAACGTATCAAGAATTGCTTCTCCGAAGGATCATCTCGGATGCTATATTTATACATTGACGTTTGTGTAACTTTTTCTTCGACTGCGATAATTACAGGTACCAAGGTTTGTAATTAATTTTTATTCTTACTCGTATTTCGCACGTGAAGTGTAACTAATAATCGTTTCAGTGGAACGTGTAGGTTTTTCCTTTAATTCATTATAGAACAAAAAAAAGAATCAATGTTTTATCACCTGAGCAAGGTTAATGAGAAAGTTCTTAGTTTAGCAAATCATTGCTGTCAATACAAAGGAGAATAAAAAGCAATTACATAATGTCTATTCATGGAATTAATAGGAGGAAAATACTATTCTTCAAATTTTTCTTCATTTAATTTTATCAGAAATTTGAGTAGGTAGTTCTAAGATCTCTTCAGGGATAAGCAGAGGATGTCCAAGGATTTCTAGGGCAACGTTAGATTAACAATTTAGAGTAGCGAAAAATCTAAAAGTGTAATTAATAAAAATCGCGGTCGCTGTTAGGTTACTCACCCTCTTTGAATCTTCTTCGTCCGTTTTGCTCTGTCAAGGACGAACGATCCGAGCGTTACCACGAGTCTGCGTAGACTGCGACCACTGGTGGAACTCACTAGGCCGGTTTCAGAGCTCTTCCGTATTTGAAAATCCTCCAACGAGAAAGTTGCACAAGCAACCGTCCTGATACAATCGCCGCGATCTCGGCATCGGGTCGACTCGACCCGTGTTTCCTAGAGGACCAGAGACCTACCTCTTGTTCACCGACTAGCTTCCTGCTCCGATCACTTGTGAACTCACTCGGCAGATTACTTAACAGTCTTTAATTATGCGTTTAACATAGCAAAGAAATAAGGAAAAGTATCGATTTACCTACATTCGTAACTCGAAATAATAAATTATCATTATAGTGATAATTAGCAGGAAATTAAAAAGTTAAATTTAAAAATTACGGTGAAAAAATCTTGACCTCTCGTTTCATCGCCATCGAACATCGTAAAAAGAATTTTTTCTCGTCTGATTTTCGTGTTTCTTCGAGCTCACGGAGAGTGCAGAACCCTGTCGAACCGAGAGGATTCCCATGAAATCCGTTCACTAACGAGCAGTTTATCCGGGCATTAAAGCGTCGAGCAACCCTCGAAACTAAATTAGACCTCGAGATTAGCTGCCTCGAGAGTCGATCAACGTGCAAGAAGAATCGTCGACAGTCTAAATGATCACGATTTACAGGATCAATGTTTCATCTTACGTTTCTAATCCTTTTAACAAACCTAGCGAGTCTGTGATTGCAGATAAATTGATCGGAAAACATCATCACACTTGATATCGATTTTAGAGTCAATGCTTTATTAATTCAAGGCTTAATTAATTCAAATTATTGAAAATTGCAATTATTAATTATTAACCCTAAGAATATTTTTAATTATAATGTCATGTGAACTCGATTAATTTATTAACTTAAATTCTTGTTTCTTCATCGAATAAAAAGAAAATAATTCCAACAGTCGCTTTCAAAACCTCACGGAAACGGTTGTTGACCTCCCGACAGAGAATGAAAAGAAAGGCTTAAAGACTCGCATAAGCGCGTGCTAGTGAGCAGTAGCAAATAAATAAAAAAGAAGTTAATCAACGATCACGACGAATTTCACCTCAGTGTCGTTACTCAAGTCGATATCGTGCGAGTGAGAGCCATCGCTGTCCAAAGGGAAATCGCAAAATTTATATGAAACCGGAAGCATGGCGTTAGCTCGGACACCGTTTCAATCGGCACGCTGTAGCACATGGCAGTGAATCATTCTACGTATGCGTGAACATGTAGAAAGTAAAAGTTCCCTTTTTCTTCAATCGAGTAATAGGCAATCGGCGTATCGAATACTTGTGTTCGATAACAGGTTCCATAATTGGCCGTTGCAATACCTTCGAATCAGCTGACTTTCCACCATTTTTATAACAAAATTTTCTTTTAGAAGCAAATTTATATATTGCTTCTTAATTAGATCAGTTTATTAATAATATTTCTCTAATTTGTACAGGTTCGTCCACCGATGTGCAAAGGGAAGAATGTACAGGAGGTTTCAAAATTGGTAAGTTACTCTCTATATTTATAAAAGTACCTTTCATTCTTATCTATCTAAAAAAAGTTGTAGTTAAGAAAAACAAGTTAGAAGACTGATCAACCATGCATACCATAAATGATCAGGAAATGATTGAGGGGAAGTATCTATTTCTATGGAGAAATCGAACGTCCGGTTGTTAAAGAACGTAACGAAATGTAATTTGAACTTTGGTTAACAATTTTTATTCAAGATTCTCAAACGCTTTTTTAAATCTTTCGATGGGTCAAAGGCTAGAACCGAGAGTAAGAAAAATGACACTTGTAAGAATCTTTTTTCAATCGTCTATTACGTAGCCTCCACGTAATGGCTGGCCTTCTATAGGCGTCAAAGAAAATGAAATATTTTGAAAAAACGAACCAACTACTCATTTATTTGTAATGTCAAGGCATCTCAATTTTTTCTAAAGTCAGATTTAACGATTCAGAATATAAACCACATCCGTCATTTGACTGTCATCGACAGGCTATTTGGGACCTGACAGCTTCAAAGATTCTAATAGTATTCTAATCATGGTAATTCTTATTTCCATTATAATACTAAAAAAAAGAAATGAAACTGTATAAGTAAGTTCTTATAACATCTTTAGATTTATATTTCTAAATTTTGTACAGATCACTTTTAATTAATTACACATTGTGTTAATATTAAAATACATCTTTATCACAGGGGTGCTTTTTTCTCTTGTATCTGTGAGAATAATTTAGTTTGAGTGGCACTGGCTTTACTCGTAACAGATAAACAGTAAAAAACATGAAACGAGTTGATTTCCTTGTTTATAATCATCGGTGACCAGTTTTTCATCGATTGATAATCGATTTCTCAATCGCTTACGTTCACGCACTCTATATTCATATTCGAACATCGATATCAGCAATAAAACGGACAGTCATCGAACGTTATGGTGACGTCTGCAAATTGGCAACTGGAAAACTACTAAACGGTACGTGAAAAACACTCGGATCTTTCCTTTCCACGAGGCTGCGCCCGGTGAATACAAATAATGTTCTATCTGAGTTACGTGCTTACTTTGAAGTTCCTCTGTTCCTGACAAGATGGTTACGGTCTCGTAAGAACGATGTTGGATGACCAAGTACAATTCTCCGTTGGTCTTACGTCAGTTCACTGTTAGTCTGATAACTCAGACTCCGAGAATCGTATTTCGTTCTATATTATGCTAGTCGTTTTCTATTTGAAAGTCTAAATTCGTACGAGAGATTCATAAATTAATCATTGCTCGTGCGCGGCTATAGAAAAAGTTATCTTACAGAGAAAACTTAATTTGATTTGTAGACGTCAACTTTAATCCTCGAAACAATTTGATACGTTCGAGGAATTTGCATTTTCCTTTGGTCGAGAGAAGAAAATTCTCAATTTAACTAAATATGGAATATCTAAATTTCCTCAGTTTCAAGAATATTTCGACGTCAAATAATTATCCTCTAGCTTGAAGGCAAAGAGCATGGAGATATTATTAATGGTCTTCTCGTGAAATTCATTAACAGAAGATGTCGTTTGCACTGAACTTTCAGCTTCGGTCCGATCGTCACGGTCCAACGATACTTATGCTAAAAACATCATAAATCCTGTACGTTAAAATTGTCAAAAAAAGAAAAAAGTAAAAGAATCAAGGATAACCGATCCGGTTTTAGGTAGCCAGTGACCCGAGGACACTTTGTACGTCAGGTGCAAATGACGCTCATGTTTCCTTGCCCTCGGCGCGATTAAAGTCCGATCTCGGTTTCTCGCGTGTCACAAACACGCTCGTCTTTGTTCCTGTTAATCATCTGGGAGTAGTTTTGTGTTTCTAAAGAACATCGCGGTCTGCGAAACTCCAGGTAAACCGTGTTGCCACGCGAACGTGCTTAGAGTGCGAATTCAAATATTTATTTAAACCTAAGAAAACGAAACTTCGTGCCGGCGGAAATTTATTCTATCGTCTTTAACTCCATAATAAGAGGTAGAATAAAAGGAACATATAATTTTGACGAATCTTTTGATAGAAGTACCACTGCGATCGATCGGCCACCCTGACCCACCTTAACGTTCCCTAGCACCACAATCGACTACCCTCGTCGCGATATCCGTTTCCAAGTTCACCGTCAATTTATTAATAAACATCTATAACCCGATCGTGGCCGCACCCTCTAGCGATAAACAAACATCCCCGCCAAGTGTTTTAAAAGGCGCTTCCATCAGTAATGGAGGGGATCATGCTGATAAACATGCCTCCTGGCCGACCCATTAATCCCCTGACCGACTGAAATCATTCGTTTCTATCGATCCTCTCCTTGTGTGCAGCAACCAGCCACAACGTCGAACATCCACGAGAGAAAAATTGGTTGGAAGGGGTAGGGTCAGATCGAGTAGGGAAGGTCATAGCTCGAAGCGGCTGGTACCGAACGCGTTTATATAGGAGAGAAGGTCTCGTTTACGCATCACTCATTAGCGTGCGACATTTCGTTTTCGTCGAGTGATCTTACGTGCTGATAATCGTTGTGCTAGTACAGAGTTTCTCACGCTTCTTGTTGGAGACGAGAAATTCCGGATAACCGGTGAGTGTGGATTATACCCATCATTTTATGGATAATTATGGAGAACGTTGAGAGTGATAGTGTTGTTGGGGGTGGTCGATTTTTTGTGCTGAGAATATGAGCGATGGTTTTTAATTCAATTTTGTGATATCGAATATTCTATAATTTTCAAAGGTAAATCATCATTATTTGTAAGAAGAAAATTTTGAATACTGTGAACTTGGGTAGCAGGCAGTGAGAGTTTGAATTTAAATAATTTTAATATGTTTTTGCAATGAAAAAACTGGTAATATACAGTTGTCAAAGTGTTTATTGATTAATAGTACAATGAGTTTGAACGTGAATAAAAATTCAAAATATATTTAAAATGAAACATATGATTTTGATAAATAATATCTATGGAAACATACATTTAGTTGGTTATATTCATGATTGTATGAATTATATAATCCGCGTTGGACATTGACCGAATGACAGGTACACCGAAGCACCTGTTTTCTCTTTTGTTTCCCTTATTGTTATCTTCAAATCTCTACTAACATTCCCGCGATTCGTCTCGAAACCTTGACCTTCGACCATCATGGTTACATGTAATGGTTCTCCATTACATTACACGCGGAGAAGTCGATACGCTACCGCTTTGAAATTTTTATTGGCTCACCCTGTATAATTAATTACGACAATAAATCGTGACATTGTATCACGAGTGTATACAAATAGGGAAGTAAATAGTTTGTAAACTCGTTCGATCATGTATTTATTTTCTCGAAAATAAAGCCCTATATAGAAAATGTTATTCTACAATTTTGACACAAATTTACTTGAAATAATCGAGAATATAAATAGGAATTTCCAAAATATGCGGATCCAAAATTGATCCGGGTATGACATAATCGCTTGCCAGATGAAATAACACGGAGGTGCAACTTCCCCACCATGCTGCAGAATGCACCTTCACTTCTCCTTCGTCTTGCTTATCCATCAGAACAGCTGCTTCAATGCTCCCACTTGATCGGTTCGATCCCATTTCCCCACTCAAAACCAAGTGAATTTTATCCATGGAAAGATTTTCCCCCTCAACCTGACACGCATTTCCCATCTCCCACTCTATCCTTCGATACAGACGAGTCGTCCGTCAAAAGAAACGATCTCGCGTTAACCTGCGTCATCGTCACGAGCGTGTACACATGGAAAAACTCGTCGAGATTCGTCTTTTCGACCCTGACGGTGAATTGGCTCGCGTATAAGAACAGACCCCAGGGCCCGGGGCCCTCTCATTTTCGTTCGTTTTTCGACCGGAACGCGCCACCGCGTCGATCTCTTCCGTTTCAAAATTTTCAAATAATATTTCGAGCTTCCAAGTCTGCTCGACGTTCAGTTTTATGGCTGCCTTTGAACGATCCTTGTAACGAGCCTTGATTCGAAGGTGAATCCAAGAAGTGCAGGAGAAACTTTGAATGTCGCGATGGAGTACATAAAACGTGAGTAAGAGAACGTACTTTTTAGTTAATTGAAAAATTTTCATTTTCATTTTTGAAATCCAACCAAGTAATATTAACTGTTGCTACGTATTTGTTGCAATTCGATATCAATTGGTTCGGGGTAATTAAGGACAATTGTAATATATCTCTAACAGTGACAATTAGAAATTGTCCTATAATTAGTCCTGTAATTAGTCATATAATTTTCAAATCACTGTTCCGACTTAATGTGTTTATTAACGTCACTTTGATTTATTGAAGTGATATATCTAGATCGAAAAGACTGCCATTTATAATTAAATATAAATAGTAAGCCATGTGGAAAATTCTATACATCCAAGTTAGTTATTATGTTTCTACTTTATCATTAAAACGTAAAGTAAAAATAGATTTTAATTACTAATTAAAATGTGTCCATCGAGGGAAACCAGGCACCTTTATCTTGACATTTCAAACGCGTTTCTTGCTACCCTGTAGTTTATTCTCATTAAAATTTATACACGACTTCGTGGCACTTAAAAACACGCCAATTATTCTAGCAAACATAGATACTTGTGCAATCGCAAATAACGTGTCATAGCAAAGAAGAGCGATCACTACCGTTGGACGTCAATCTTTAGAGACTGTACTGAAACGCATAAAAAAGGAAAGGGAATGAAAGAAACGTGAACGGATCGTGGAAACGGGCTGATATGCAAATTGAATCTCTGCGTTATCGATGAGCGTTTTTTCGCCCGGTCGATCAGAAATTAAAATTGATCATTTGAAATTATAATTTCCAGGTTGGTGATGCGCGAAACAGAGTATCCATCGTTTCGTGCTAGATCCGAGACAATATCATCGCGAATCGTTTTGCTTGTGTCTTTAACAATTTGCATAATCGCCGTCTGGTAAAATCATTGACTCACATTTTCGTACTATTCCATGCGTTTCGTAACACCAATCCGATGCATTCACTTTCCTGAGATTTTAATGCCGTTTAGGAAACTTGGATACTCCCGTTTAAAACAACTTAACTTCTGGTGTAAATCGAAATTTATTTCAGAAACTTTTTAATGGTTAGCGTTATTCGAAAGAGTTCATCCTTTGAACATTTTTCTTTTTTCCAAAGTTGTTTCCCTGTACAACTTTGAAACGGTTTTTACGAAGAGCATTATAAAGCACGATCAGAAGTGGCCATTCTTCTTTGTGTTCATCGCACGTGCAAGACTTCTTGCAAGTATACCAGCCAAGTTTCACCACGACCGTGGCACGCTTGCCACGCAGTCAATGTATTACGTTTGAATGACACAATACAGCGCGGTCACGAGTTTCCCGCGATGGGGAACGAGTTAGTTTCCTCGAAGTTTCATCGGGAAATTTCTTTTTCAAACTTGTCTCTAGGCTGGTCTAGATATCGTTACTCAATCGTTCGACAGAAAAACCGTTCATACTACTGCCTCACCTTATCCAACTATTTTTATAAAAGGTTAATTTATTTTTTAAAGGGTTGATTGGACGTCGTGAAAATTAGGTTTTTATATTTTTAGACTCAATCAACGTCAACGTAATGAAACTGTTTTGTATTCCTAGTGGAAGTTTCATGATGTAGCTACCGTTTCTTCTTTTGTTTCCTTTCTTTTCTTTCATTACTTTTTGTTCCCTTTTTCGTCTCCATTTCCTCTGTTCGTTCTTTTCACTCATTGTAAGCTGCTGCTTTTTGCCTCGCTTAAAGCCCTTTTGCTCTTTCATTTTTCCTTCGAATGAGAAGCTTGAACCACTTTTGAAATTAAGTTCACCTCTCTCGGTTGAACGCCGGCTGTAATTAATGAATTAAATGTTTAAAACATTGCAAAATTTTCCTACCCAATTATTGTTAAATTCATTTCAACAGAAATCTATAGTCCAGCTCAATCTCTAAAATCACGGTACATATGTAAAAATTCGTCTAACATATAAATTTCGATATTTTACATCGATGATGTGTTGATGCATGTAAATACTGCCTGTTGAAGGTACTCGTAACGTAAAAGCAATCGGACGATGATCGTAGAACACAGTGTGCCACGTTTTTGGCATCGATTCAGATACTATTTCAACGTTGAAATAGCGGTCGGAGCTGGTAAATGATCGCGAAGGTAACCAGCTCGGCTCGTTGCACCCTTTTTTCCCAAGCAGAACTTCTTGGTCGGCTGCCAATTGTAACGGTGGGTCGATGTGCCTAAGAAAGGAATCGCTCGATAAAATTTTACAACCCCCGAATGCAGCTGCAACGAGCGACTGCAATCCTTACTTGCAGTCTGCTCGTAAATCTTGATGATAAAAACTGATAGAAGAAAGGGAAGAGATAAATGTATGACGTCGCAGTTACTTAAGAAAATAATTTAAAACTTGAAGTTTTAATAAAGATTGGTTTTTTCTATTCGAAAGTCTTTTGGTCTTTCGCGAAGTTTGGTAGGGGTAGTTACAGGGTTAATTTTCATCCTACCACCTTCTATATTATATTATATTTTCAAGTCATGGTAATTAAAATTTAAAAAAGATGACAGTATGAAGTATGAGATTAAATTAAAATTCAGGTTCTCTCCATGGTCCGCCATCCGAGGGTTGACTAATCAATCTTCGTAATTTCAATAGTGTTATAAATCCAAATTACAAATGGACTTACTATTGTTAATTTAAAGATTAATTATATTTTTCGATCGAGTATTGACAAAATTGAACGGAATTAATATTGACCCAGGTCAGTAACCCCATTTTAAACTTCAAAATTCAAAGTATCCATGTATATATTTAGATACATGTTGATCGTTCGCTTTCGAAACTGAAGAAAAGCTTTTCGTATCCGAAAAGAGAAGAAGAACTAAAAGAAAGACATGGATGACCCTGATCGTGGAAGAAGTTCACCTCGAACAGTGGCCCCTTCTTTTTCGATGCCTCGTGCAGCTCGAGGACGCAGACAGTGAAAGAATTTCGACCTTTTTCGTGTTTCCGTTTCGTAATTCATACAAATTTGTTTTTTTCTTCAGCAAATTAATCTTTATCGAATTTATACAAACATTTAGAATACATAATTTCGAATCCGTGACTTTTTCCTCATCGACCAGCTGTCTGAAGATAACAATCGAAACGGAAGTTTGTTCTTTTTTTCTCAACATGATTTCGTCACTCCGAAACGACCATGATTGAATATTCAAGCAACGTGCCTGTACATACATTGACAAAAAGGCAATCAACTTAAACATATATGAATATAACTATACGTCGAAAATTAACAGAATATTCAATCGTTCCAAGACTTGCCATTCGAAATGTTGTCAATCTACAATATTAATATTCATGAAAAAATCATGTTTCTCGAATGTTTTCAAAGTCGCAGATGAATGAAACAATAAAAGATATTATTTTTTCATGAAAGGAGAAACTCAGTTAACTTTTCTTTCGCTGACGCGTTTTTCTTGACAACTTTTTTCTGCATACGTTAGATCCAGTTTTGTAACATGTTGCAAGAATCAGGTTTTGAAATTATTTAATATAGACTAACTGGTAAAATAGAAAGTCCACGCATTCGAAGGAATTCAGAAAGGCTTTTTATCCAATTTTTTTTTCTCGTTTCTTCGCCTCGTTTGTCAACCAGCAATTACTGCTCCGATCTCGTCCTTGATCCTTTTTCTCGTCACTTTCGCGATCGATATTTTCCTGTGTAATTTTATAGCACAAATGGCATATAATTCAATTAATTATAGTCCAAAACATTTGCAATGCAATTTGTTATATAAGAACATTGAAATTTTGAAAAATTTCATTTAAATTTTATTTAATTTTCATTTCCGGCAATGTTTGATTTAATTACAACTTTTTATGACAATCAAGTGTATTAAAAAAAATGAAAAGGATGAAGAAATATGAATCGAGGTCACACGGAAATAATTTAATTCAACTACTGGATGATCTGGTTTCACGAAAAACACGTTCACTTACAACGTTATATTGGGAAAAAACAACTTATGTTTTTACAGTCAGCGAAATAATATTTTCAACTCTGAATTTAGTATCAACGTCACGCTTATATAAAACTGAGATGTTGCGTTTCATTTGCAATTCATACCCGTTTTACGTTCACTCGTAGTCTTATTAATTTTGTATTTAAACGCGTCATTAAAGTGTCGTGGAAACTCACTATTGCACAATGAACGTAACATCGAAACGAAAAAGGAAAGTTTCTTGCTACATGATTTTCCCAATCGATCATTCAGTTCCGTCATTGATCAGCGCCAGAAAATGTTGCTTTAAAACCTGCGCGTTTTATATGCGCTTCAAATTTGCGTATGGATTTACCTCATTTCCGGTCTACGATCGTCAGACAGAGCAACTATATTCCTTAACGATTACATAAATCACTCGGCCACCGTCTTTTTGCATTTTATTCTACACGATATCGTTTCTTCTTTCATTTTTTATGACGATTCACTTATTGGTGCACTTTTTAGTGCACTAATTATCACCTAGAAAAAACTGTAACTATAAATTTTTGTGAATACTGAATAGATTGTATTCGAGGAAAATTTTTATTAAAAAGCGAACGAAGTGAAAGAGTTATTTATGAACATAGCTGTACATGCACTTCTCGTTAATGCGCAACACGATTCCATACTTCACCTGTACGTCGGGAAGCGTGATTACCAGCTGAAGAGAAAAAGAAGAGACTAAAAAGGAACGCGCGGTTACACGCTAGGAGAATCCCCTGAAGCGTCACGAGCATCTTGGTGGACGATTGCAATATTCAGCAGCTTAGACTGGCCGATTCAATTTCAACACGGCGAGCACAGTGATTAAGCTGACCCCGTCAGAAGCGGACGAGCGTTTTGCGAGCGGAATGCCGGCTATAATTGCTGCTTAAACGGCGATCATACGACGTCACGTGTTGTCGAGCGTTCCACGCCGATAAAGGAGCGTATCGCGAAGTGTGAAACAATTTAATTGCAAACTAAAAAAGTGTACAAGCTTCGAAAGAAATTAATTCGTGAAAACTGACCCTGAGTTACAATAAAAGTGTTTCCTGTGTGTTTTTTATCCCAATCGAAGATCTCAGTGACCATTTCCGTGGTATCCTCGACAGTTTGGGCAAGGATCCGACGTGATTTCGATGTTTAAAAGTATGTTGAGTACGTTTTGTAATTGCCTTCGAGTAAATTTTCGTGTTGTGCATATCTAAAGTAGATATCATTGTTAATTACCGGAAGCATCAATCGTAAGCGTGGAAAATGTAAAAGATAAGTGATTTATTTAATGTATTTGATTTCCTTGCTAAATCATTTATTTAATGTATTTTATTTCCTCTCAGGGCTAATTATGTCATTTACTTGATTCCCTTTCCGAGTAATTTAGACAATTTACTTAACTCCTTTTCTCAGTTACTTATTTAATTTATTCGAGTTCCATTCTCACTTTATGTATTTAATTTAGGCAACTGCTTTTCCACGTGTTGTTCTGAATAATTGTTTGACAAACTTGTACTCACTTCAAGCACCTTAGTAAATAAATTATTTTGAAAAAGCAATTGACTTATTATTTACTTTAATGAATTTCCTTCTCAATTTATTTAGGTAATTTAGTTAACTTATTTTCTCAGTTATTTCTTTATATAACATTCAATAAAAATGTTTGATGCTTAATAAATTACAAACATAGTATACATGAAAATCAAACTTAAATCAAAACACAGTAATTACTTCTCAATATGAGAAGTTTGACCTAGAACGAGGTGCGACCTCCTCAGTCTTATAGCGACCGTCAAGGGGTACGGATCAACCTATCAAACATACATATAGGTACTTTTAATTTACCTTCGCAGTTTATTTAATTTACTTTATTTATTTTTTCCGCTTATTATCAAGCTTGTCAAAGAGGAATAAAATTTATCATTTTATCTCGCTTCGAGACCTCGGTCGACCACACCTTTTATTTATTATTTTATCCTTCCTCATGAGCCCCGCCTTACTTTTTATCCTTCATTATGGACTTTAGTCCATCCTTTTCAGTTATTAATTATTTTATCCTCCTTTATGGGTCAAACCCACGATTCTTAATTATTTATTATTTTATTTCTCATTATGGGCCTCGCGGGGACCACCCTTCCCGGTTATTGTTTATCCTATTCCTACTCTTTATGGACCAAACCTACCCTTTGCAGTTATTTATTTTACTTACCTCTGCATTCCTTACATGTATGCAAGCCTTATATCCCTGCATTCCTTACGTCTATGTATCTCTTACATCCTTGCTTTCTTCATCTTCCTGCATCCTTTATATCTCTGCACCCTTACATCATTTTTTTTTTTTTTTTTTTTTTTTTTTTTTTACGTGGTGGAAATCTTCAGAAAGACACCTCCAGCCCCTCCGGGGAGGGGCCGGAGGTAGTGTGGGATTTTTACCCACTAAAACCACCACGGTGGCCTGTGCGGGGGCTATAGAGAGCGCCCCGGAACCTCCAACCTTTGACCCTCCCCCGCTTGCTAAATTCCGCCGACATCGGGGGCCACACCCGATGCCGGCAGTCCTCGGGCCGCGTGCAGTGGAGACCGGGGCCCCAGCCCCGGCCCCCTGCGGCCCTTCTGACCCGTTTGACCCTTACATAACTGTATCACTTACATCCCTACATTCCTTACATCCTGGCATCCCTTATATTCCTGTATCTTTTATGTCCCTGCATTAATTATACCCAGCATCCCTTAGATTCCGGCATTCCTTATATCACTGCATCCTTTATACTTCTGCTTTCCTTACATGCCTGGATCCCTTACATCTATGCATTCCTTACACCCCTGCTTTCCTTACATGCCTGCATCCCTTACATCTAAGCATTCCTTACACCCCTGCTTTCCTTACATGCCTGCATCCCTTACATGTATGCATTCCATACACCCCTGCACCGCTGCAAGCTCTTTTTGAGTAAGAAATCGTTACAAATTTAGTTCCTTTTTTCAACACCAGAGGGCGCTGATTCGACGTCGAATCAGCGCCCTCTGGTGTTGAAAAAAGGAGCTAAATCGTGCTCCATTTTTGGCCCTCTAGCGGCAAAAATGTGAACTAAATTTTCGATGTCGAATCAGCGCCATCTGGTTTTTAAAAAAGGAACTAAAGCTTGTCGGAATTTTGGCCCTCTAGCGGCAAAAATGCGAACTAAATTTTCGATGTCGAATCAGCGCCCTCTGGTGGCGAAAAAAGGAACTAAATCTTGCTCCATTTTTGGCCCTCTGGCGGCAAAAATGTGAACTAAATTTTCGATGTCGAATCAGCGCCATCTGGTTTTAAAAAAAGGAACTAAATCAAGAAGCAATTTTGGCCCTCTAGCGGGAAAAATGTGAACTAAAATTTCGATGTCGAATCAGCGCCCTCTGGCGGTAAAATTAGGAACTAAATTTGTAACGATTTCTTACTCAAAAAGAGCTTATAGGGATGTAAGGGGTGCAGGGATGTAAGGAATGTAAGGATATAAGGAATGCAGGCATGTAAAGGATGCAAGGATATAAAGAAAACAAGGATGTAAAGGATGCAGTGATGTAAGGAATGCTGGGATGTAAATAATATACTGATATAAGGGGTGCAGAGATGTGAAGGAATCTGGGATATAAAGGATGCACACGGGAGTAAAAGAATCAACACGTTCGTCCACCTAATAAGTTTATTCAATAAACTAAGAAGATAAATACAGCAAATTAAATGAACGCGGAAAATAAGATATAGATATATGTATGTTTAGCAGGTAGATCTGCACCTCTCGGCGGTCGCTATAATACTGATGATGTTTCACTTCGCTCTACGTCGAACGGTTGATAACAATGCCACAGCCAGCTATCTTTGTTCGAATCAGTAGCTGTAAATTTTTTTTATTTTTAATGTGGGGTACATGCATAACTTCGTACTTACATACGAGGCGTGGTAAAAGAGGGACTGATAAAACAGGCGCGACTGTCATACCGATTGCCTGGGGTACCTAGACCCCGCAATCGTGCTCCCTGGAGAACAAAGATGTGTCCAGTCTTTTTTATATTTGTAGTCACTGTTTCCTGCCACGTTTACGCTCTTTTTCACCATGCATTTGCTAAACAGAATACAGTCACTGGTGACTGATACTTGTGTTTTGTTCAGATCTACATAGAATTGTTAGGCTTCAAAATCATTTCATTTGACTTGTTTCGATTGAATCACTGTTTAAATAATTTCTGATGTTATTAAGTTAAAGTTAACTCCTAATAATGATTGCTAATATCATATAAAATTATCGATTATTATCAATAAAATTTGAATCAACATCCTTTCCTTTTTTTCCATTACCTGTACCAGCTAAAAGATAAAAACCAGATACGAGGTACCAGTGAAAACATTTATTATTTATCAGCTCTGGTTGGTAGATACGTGCATCATAACGAAAATACGATAGCAAGTGATAAACACCGGACACTGAGAACAGACTGATTTTCCGACTGTCACGTTGCTGTGATTCTAAACGTATAACAAACGTGCTTCGTTAACGTTTTGCGGAAGTAATAAAACGTGTGATTAGTACCTTGTATAATTAATTGGAAAACGATAATCCATCGACAATGATCCATTAAAACAATGATCTATAATGAAAACATCATTGAAGAAACGAAGATAATTGGTCTTTCATTCTGACAGACAACTTTCATATAAATTACACGAGAAGTAATAAACTTACAATTATGAATCTTTGTGATACACATTTAAATGAATTCCAATGACACACGTACTTGGAACGAATCTCATTGGATCCATACACAAATGAGTCACAATTCGTGACAAATCGTTACGCTGTCGCGCTATCGGAGCATTACTCGCAACTTCCGACTGGGTATGCTGTAATTAAATAGTTCGCGAAACGTGTGCTCGGTTGTTTAGTATTCTTTTGAATGGCCTGATGGAAACCGGTCGACCTCTTTTTCCAACAAATTTTATTCGATACTAACTGGTGATCGAAGACTGAAGAGTAGCCGAAAGTAACAGGAAAATTAAAAACCTCTGATCATGGAGCTGGGAAGTTAGTGTTAAACATCGTTATAAAATTATTAAATATTTGATTCGACCTGTCACTCATGTTCACGATTTCTTCGCTCGAAATATCGCTGAAAACGTTCTCATTGTATGCAAAATTACGTTCGACGACTCGATTGGTCCTTAAATACTCTACGCTTCTTCCTTTCATGAATCGTAACGTGGGAATTTTGTTTTCAGAAACAATGTTGACCGATTGCGAGGAACTTCCGTCCCTGAAACTCGGCGACTTTACGCTCGAGTTTGAACTTGGACCACCTAGCGCGGAATTGCAGGAAGTCGCTAAAAAGGAGCTACGAGAGACCCCTGAACTCCAGAAAGAAGCAATTGCTCAATTTAAAGAATTACTCAAAGGTAATGATGATTTCGTTTTTAATTGAATTTCACGCTTTCCCTCGTTCGTTGAAAATTAATAATTAATGATAATTATTTAACAGCCGAGACGGACCTAAAAGTTCCATTGGATAACGAGGCATGGTTGATCCGGTTCCTCAGGCCTTGCAAGTATTATCCGGAATCAGCATTAAAGCTGGTGAAACATTATTACAACTTCAAGGTGAAACACGCGAACGTATACGATAACTTGAAACCGAGCCGGGAAAAGAACATTTTTGAACAAAATATCCTGACCGTGTTACCGAATCGGGACCAACATGGACGAAGGATGTTAATTATCGAGCTGGGTAAAAAATGGAAACACAACAAGTGCAACCTGGACGA